TAACTATATGGATTTTTCTAAATATTATTATAATGAAATATTTCTAAACATTATGTAAAAGGAAAATGAAAACCAAAATTTTAAGCAGTTATTCAATAAGAAAGCAGTACCAGAAAAATTTGGAGTTTATGTTCATGTTAACAAAATCTAAATTTTATTAGGTAAGTCAAGAGTAAATAAAAGGTGCATCCCCAAGCTAAAGATATTGCATCTGAGAATGATAGCACGTTTATGACAATTTAAAACAGTTAAATGTTTGTGCTAAGACAGATATTTATTTAAAATACAGAATTTAAATCATGGGATACTGTACTTCAAAACAGAAAATACTCCAAATCTGATGTATAAATAGATTTCACCATGATTTTCAATCATGAAAAACTTGACTTGTGGGATCAGGACACTGACATAGATCTAGCAACACTTTAATTATTTTAAGTTAGTATTACAAAGGGTGAACAAGCCTTCCATTAGAACAGAGAAAAGGATGTCAAGTTCTTAAGTCCAATTTTTTACTTCAAGGATTGCTTGTCAACGTCAAAGACTCAAATGATATCTAAATCTATTTTCAGATTATTTTGATCACTTTTTTAAGAAAACAAAATGTTGTAGTAAATGGAAGATAAAATGGTATGACATTACACACAGTGAAGTGTAGATGACTCTCTTCAACTTAAGAAAAACAAAACTATAAATTCTGTATGGAGGAGATAATGTAGCAAGATTTCGATGAAGGACAGTTTATTACCTAAACAGTATGTACAAATTCTAAACATGAAAACAATGAGTAAAAGAAATCAGACTATTTACATTTACATTTTTTTACAAATTATTTTTTACAAGAAGTGTATTTTTTTCTCTAAATAACAGGACAGATACATAAGACCAATCTTTTTGTACTACATACATAAATAAATATTGGCTTTAAATGAGTGTCATAGGAACATAATTTCTACAGCCAATCTGGGTAACAGAGAAGCAGTTCTGTTACTTTTACTACAATATAATTAAGTAAAAAGGAAAACTTTTACATATAGAGCTCTGTTAATTACCTTGTAAACTGTACCTTACTAATATATTCAGTAGAGGTAATACAGTCGTTACATTTCATGCCCACAACTGAACAATGAGTTTTGGCATGCAAAACCGTATATAACCATCAAAATCTGCAGGTATTCATTTACATTTTTTAAACAAAGGGTTTTCTTAATTATTTAAAACTACATGCAACAGCTTATTAGCATCATATTCCTGGTTACAACGCACAAGTTTGCATAACATTATTTTTAGTAATTGATGTTCACAGGTACTGATCAAAAGGGTAGGAATATACTTGGCACATAGTATAAGAAAATGAATTAATAAATAAGTCAACATCACAACTACATTTACATATACACAAGACAAAAATAATTTTTTTATGGTATTGTTCACAGAATTTAGAACTATCTGGATCCCATGCTTAGCTCTGTAAGGCCCTGATTTAAGCCAGTATTCAAACAAATTTTGACATCCATGCTATATTTGACACATCACTAAAGCTTGTTCATAATTGCAAAGGTTTACTTCCATCCTACTGACTTATTTTGTGCATATTGAAGTTTCCTCTTCTGTATACCTTCCTGAATCAGGGCTTGCTTATCTGAAACTTTCCCTGACTCAAGCTGGGAGCATGGATATAAAAGTATTGTAGAATAAATTGACTCACTATTTAGGTTTCCATACAGTTCTGCTAATACCAATGGTAAAATTCCCATTCACATTAGCAATGAGTATTTATTTGATTTTGTGTGACCATGTTAAACATTAATGTCAATGTTAGCATTGTCAAACCATTTCCTCAGCTCCTTCTGAAGCCACTAAGTTGAGGATGTTCAGCATTTCAGAAGTCACACCACTTATTTATCGTCTATGTGCTATATTCTTAATGAACATTCAAGATGATACACATAGCAGTACTTCACAAGCTCTGTCTTATTTGAATTTCTCCTGCTCTATAAACAAATAAGAAATGGTCAAAAAAGATATAAGAACAAATCATTCTCTTCTTAAACAACAATCTACTTCACAGAGCAGTCAGCAAAAATGGCATAACCTTATAATTCTTCTTCAAGAAATAAAGATAACCTAAATGCATCCTGAAGTCAACTGACAAATCCATCAGAATTGTACATAGCAAATAATACATTAGTGTAAAGGTGCAGAGTATCTAAACACATCCCAATATCTATATTAACTCTGTATTACAAAACATCATGAGAGAAAATAAAACATTAACTAGTGAATCAAGTAGTGAATTACAACTCTATCGCTGAATTAAATGTTTAGTGCGACTTAGGTTAGTAAATTAGGACAATACCCTGTACAATTCAGCAAACAAGGCTTTATGAATTAGGCACTAAAAACTTCAATTTTGTACTTCTAACTTCAAAGAATAATCAGGAAATCACTCATAGCTAGGAATTTAACATCCATGCATGAGCTTTGTTGACTTTGTATTTTTCATTTTTGACTTGGAAAGTTACTTGAAAAGTGAGTTAATAAGCTGATTTGGAAAAGGAAAAAATAATTTACATATTAGTGGACTCTAAATAATATATTTGTTCAATACAATTCTACTTTATCAACTTTTTCTTTTATTTCCAGAATCTACTTTAAAAGGTAAAACCCCTCAATGTTTTTTAAAAGTATATTGCTACTTTTAAAAGTTGAAAGCTGCAAAGAGACTAGCATCAGCAAACAGTAACCACTTTGACTCATATCAGAAGAATGAGGCTTTCCCTCAGCAATGAAGATGTGATCACTCATGGCTGATAAGTTCCAGTTTATCTCCAAGCCAGATTTGGCATCATTGTAATAAAGATCAATATCCATGTTCTATGCTTTACCACGTTACTATGAACAAAACATAATTTCATTAACATTAATCAGGTCACTACAGATTTGCTCCAGCATAACTAGAATAGATTGTGATTGAAAGGTTTGGACGGAAGTTTTCAGAGAAGCCTGAGGTAACTGATCCCACTGTTTCCTGCTCTCAGCAAACACCACAGAGATCACTTCTAGCCTTACCGATGCCATGTGCAATCTAAATGTTGAAGCAGTGTGCACACCGGTCTGATTCAAATTCTTTGTAAAGACATATATATGTGAAACATTTCCATCCTGACAAAAGTCTCTGAGGCCCTGGCCTCCTGCTAAAACTGAAAACAAACCTTTAAACTACAGATTTTATGAAAAAGACTTCATTTGTTTATTGGCTCATGTATTTTCAGAAAAGAGGAGATGACAGAGTGACAGAGGAAGGAACTAAAAGCATGAAGCCTTTAATACTTTTAAAACTACTGTTAAAGACCCAAAGCATGTAGCAGTAGAAATTATCTGGAAAAGTTCTTGCTCACTGAGTCCATATCAAAAAGGACAATAAGCAAAGTAGAAAGAGAGTGGCAAAAAAGAGCCCTTTAAAATGGAAGGTTTTTTGTAGGAAAACTAGAATGAGCAAGTGATCAGAAATTCAGTTCCCTTCATCCCCTGTTGTATCAATTCACATGAAACAAAAAGCTATAAACTTCAGTATAGACAAATTGTATCTGAATATTTTGTGAATGCTCTACTACAATAAACATAACTCTGATCCTTAGTTTCAGGTATCTAATTTCTAATATTTGCTTTTCCATAAAACAGTTTGTCATCAAAAGAAGTATTTACCACTAATGTTTGAGGTCCTTTCATTGAATATCTCAGGCAAATTTGAAGTACAGGTGACTTCGTAGCATCTGCCGGCAGAAAAAGTGGCCACCTTGTCAAGTTTTACTACTAAGCATTTGAGCTCCATTATCCTCCTCATATGATGGTTCAGTGAGCAATGGAGGCTGTGCCAAATTGTGCAGGAGCACTCTGAACTTCTTGCACATCAGAAGCTGACTATGAGTATTTGGCAGTTAGTTTCCACTCTTTCAGTAATAAATCCAAGCAGTTTCTGTTTACTATCGAAGGATGTCTCTCTGTGTGGCAAATTATTCTAGACAGTTTATATTGCACAATAAGGCAATATGAATTCCCTTGTGGTTAAAAAGGGCACCCTTCTGTCTAAATTTGAAAAATGCATTCAAATAAACTCTAAGCCAATGTTTTCCAGATGCCAGAATATTGTCACATAATTCTTTCTGTAAGCAGAATAGCATGGAGCCAATACATCCATCCTTCTGTTCAAAAGATCCATAGGGAAAAGACATACGTGCAACAAAAGCCAAAGCAAAAAAGTAGCTCTACGGCTACTTGAACAATAAATGTGCCTCAGAATTTCAACTTCTAAAATGATCATGTTAGCTATTCTGACTTAACTAGAAAATTGGTGTTTCTTTTCAAGATATTATTATGCCTTGAAATATTATATACCAAAAAAATTATAAGTGGGCTTTTAAAAGTAATTCTTCCAAGTTCTATCAATTAATTGTGTTAATTGCCATAGATTTTCAACAGTTCTATTAATTGCTATTTGTTTCTTTTCAATGATACATCTACACTGTTTATTTTATAGCTATTAATTATGTTAATAAGAGATCTACATTACCATTTCAGAACAGATGGTTGATAAAAATTTATCATAATTCTCCTCTGTGGTGATACTGCAATTATTAAATACTGACTATATTAGGGTTTCTGCTACTGGTGTTTATTTTATGTTCTTATTTCAGATATAAGGATATCTCCTTTAATAGCAAAATACACTAGAGCTTAAACTGGTGATGGGCAGAGCTTTAAGTAAAATAGATCATTTAAACACACTGATGAGAAAATGGCCTCCAGTGCTCAAAAGTATGTATACATCACAGGACAACCGTGCAAAAATTAATATTGAAGTTGTTAAGAAAAAAAGCTGTATACACTGCACCATTTCAATCAACTTTAGACACAGAAATACGAAAACATAATGAAGACACTTTTGATTTTCTTACAGCTGTTGGGTTGGATGCAATCTTCAGTTTGTTGAATAGTGGTGGTACTGAAATGATACTTGCTGTATGCTTCATCCTGGCCTTGGTGCAAATACAATTCATCATGGCTAAACTACAGAGAAGTAGATACAGAGCACACAGGATGGTAACTTTCACTGGAAAACTGGGTTCATTTCTCCTACAGATGTGCCTTTTCCACACCTCCATTTGGGAGCTCAGTTTTTCTCTCAGTAATTTGTATAATCATCTGAAACAGTCTAATACTTCTCTGGGGGTGGCTTGTAGTGATGTGGATGATGTTGCTTCAGATGAGGTCCTAAACAAAAGAATAGGAAAATATGCACATATCAAACCCTGAATATATAACACCATCATTTATCTGTACTGAAAAGTCTTCATGAGGCCTTCAGCTTGTAAGAGAACTTCCTGTGCCAACAGCTATGTGCATGTTCAGTCCAGACAACTTTAGTGACTGTGAAAGGACAAAAAGATTCAAGCCAATGAATCTCAGACTAATTCATTGTATTTTCTGTTGAGTTTCGCAACATTGAGGTGTACTTTTCAGAAACATATAAAATGCTGGAAATGGACATTAAGAGGTCTGCACTGCTTTAGAAATATGGCCATACTCTAGCCATGATGGACTAAATGCGCCCAGAAAAATCTAATCTTGAAAGATAAGCAATCACAGGTCTGGGCAGTATGTGGAGGACAGATCATCTTTGAATCCCAAGTGCAATAGGCATAAGCCAAAGAGCGGTGGTGGAATGAAAGATAAATGTCAGATCACAGCAACTGAGTGAAAGACTGCATTTGCTTCCATCATTGCTCATGGTTAGTTATGTCGGAAAAAAAAAATTCATTCATCTTAAATTAATGGAATGCTACTGGAACCAATAAAGGCTTAAGGCTCAAGCTAACTGTTCACAGGTAGAGGACTGAAGTTCTATAACATGTAACCACATGTCAAAATGGGGTACTACTTACTGTGGGGTGAAAATGGAGGAAGATCGGGTGTTCGGAATGACTTTACTGTAGCTGGTCCTTCCCCACCAGTTGTCAGCACTTGAACTTCCAGGCGATACAGCATTGATGGCCTCAGATTGGGCACGGTAAGTACATAATGATCCTAAAGATAAAAAAAATCACATTAATTCTCTTGAAATCTAAAAAAACCCTATTGTTTTACTCACACAAAGCAGTGGTTTAAACAGGTTCTGTCACTCTGAGCATCCACAAATTATTTTCTTAGAATTCTGCTAAAAAAGATTTAACATGCATCGCTCTGTTGAGAGGGTTTGTTTTGAATCTTTTGCCTGCCCTTGGCTTTGAGCATACTTTTTTACCATAATGTTATGGTTCCATGTGTAAGAGGTCCAAGTTGTTTCTTAGTGCTCTAAAAATGCATGATGTGCTCATTGTTAAAAAAAAAATAAATTAAATTCCTAATCAAATCAAGCATAACACAATGCAAAGGAGTGTTTTAAATAAAACTTCATAGATATTTCAAACCTAACTGGACCAAAAAGCTTAAAAAAAGGAATAGAAATTCTGAATAAAACATGTGCCTTCTCCTAAAAATCAAGGATGAAAACTGAAGTGAAACATAACATCTCATGGTCTGCTACTTTGCATTTCATTGCACTAAAGTGGCTGTTTGCAGCCAAAGGTCTGTGACTAAGTCACCACTTCAGATAATCTTGCAATGTAGCTTGCTGAAGAGACCAAAGCTGCATCTGCAGTGTGCTTCTGCTCTGGACTGTGGGTTGAGCTTTGAGTGAATTGGTGCAGATCACACCGAGTCTGTACTAAGCTGTAACAAAACAGCTCCACACACTGCGTGGCAGCTTGCCCCATAGTTTTAGAGCATGGGTGTCCCAGTCTTAGGGCAGTATGCTAGGAATTAAGACAGAATGGTGAGAACCTTGCCTTGGATTTGTGAAAAACATGTTGAATGTACGATGTGTCCAACAAAACATTTTATGCATTCTTTGATGAAACTAATGTAAAAAGATTTTCAACCAGCTCTGCTTTAGACACCTTGATCCACATACCTGAAGCAAATGGAAAAACTCCCAGCATTGCTAGCTGACTTTGGATCAAGGCTAGCTGCTTAAGCCCTTTTGTTAACTTTGGTGGATCTAGAAACAGAGTCCGAATAAAGTGCTTTTTACCTGCCTTTACCAGACAAGGAACCAAAATAAGAAAAGTCATCTTAATCAAATAGGGGAAAGAATTCAAATTGCTAATTCTCACACTTTCAATAAAAAAAGAAATCTAGTTGTCCTTTAGATAATTTGTCTGTCGGTCAATGGTGCATACTGACAAAGAGGGAAGTGCTTTTTATTTTTCTTAGAGTAACAAGTGGCTCAAAGGAAGAGAAAATTCTCTTAAAACCATTGACTTGGATGCCAAATAATTAGTAAAACTATAGTAACCGCCAAGTGGAACAGGCTGATCATCAAAAGAAAATAAAATCTATCACCACACAGATGATCTTTCCTCCAGGCATTTCTCAGACAATGGTTGCTAATTTGACAATCATGAACATTAAAATGTTTGATGTGTCATCAAGAAGAGTAACTGTGCTTTGTTTCTTCAGGAAAGAGGGAAAATTAAGCACTTCCTGCTCCAAGTTGCCTACAGAGCTATGTGTGACATCTGCATCACCACTAAACATTAAAAGCAGGCCACATACACACACAGTTATGAAGCAGCTAGCTAAGGAAAGTAACAAAAAACTTACTGCTGGCAGTATCTGCGACTGCGAAATGATACTGTTGGGTAAGCTGTTCTGCCGGCTTTCTGTGGTTACTTCTGCCCAAGTGACTTGAAACCCTGTCATGGGCTGGTGAAGGTCTGCCTTTGATATCTTCCAGGAAAAATGACCAGTGATGTTACCTTCCTGGACAATGAAAGACGCAGATAGATTCTCGGGTTTGGCCAATACTTTGGGTAGAACTGGCACTATAAATTTGAAAAGCAAAAAGATAAGCTAAACTTTGAGAGATAATGTTCAACAATGTTCATTTAGTTTCACAAGTCAAGGTCAGGGAGAGTTCTCTTTCTGGTGTTACCCAGGATTCTGTCAGCTTTCTAACACTGCATTTTCAGTGTTAACCAAAGTATAACTGATACAGTCCATTGGCATTTTAAACTTCAAATCCTGTCAGCTGTAGGCAACAGAAAGGAAAGCTTATGGCATGTAAAGCCATAATTGCCTTATTCATAGGCAACCATCTTGTTGCTCCTCTGCATTTCAGAATACCTGATCTCTGGTTTCCAATTTTGGGATCACAAGAAAACCCACAGGATAGCACAGCATTCCAAGACATAGGCAAAAAGTAAAATTCTTGCTCTAGAACTGCAGTACAAGTTAATAGGGGTACTCTGATTAGAGGAAACATATGTCAGAGTTTCAGTTGCCCAGGAATAAGGCTGTAACACTGGAAACTGTTAGGAGGGGTGGTCAGGAAGTGGCAATGGTGGCCGGCAGAACTCTGAGGAGTACCCTTGGGGACAGTAGGGACTCAAAGTGAGAGGGCCACCCTCTAGCTGAAGAGGGAGGCTTCCAGACTTGACTGTGAAAAGCCATGGCTGAACTGGCCTAGTGCTGACAGCAGCCATGCTTCAAGCGGGCAGCCGGACTAGCTCACACCAGAGGTCCTTACCAACCAACATCACCATGACTCTGCAATTTTCCATAACCTTTTAGCTATACCTACCATTGTGGCAATACTCTAAAAGGTATTAAAGTGCCTTTATTTGTTATTTGAGAGCAGAGTTAACCTAAACAAAATACAACTGAAAGAACAGCTTGCATCAGTAGCAAAACATTCAAAAGATAGGTCATGCCAGCATAATTATATTTACAGTTATCATCTGTCATTATAATGAATATAACTGGGAAACTGTTCCTCCTTACAAAAATAAAAACTGTGTAAAAACAAATGTCATCATATGTTTATAAACAGTCCGCTACAATTATCACTTAATTGACAAAACAGTCATGTGGTAGCCAAAATCTATATTGCTCTGTATTTTAGTTGATTTTTCACATAAGCATTAATCATATTTTTATTTGTTCCAAAACTTTCATTTCCTATTTTAGAATTGCTTTTAAAGACTTTTTTTTTTGGTGATTTTAAATGCCTTTGAAACTATTTGGCTACTTCTCAAGATCATTACTTACCTCCTTCAGCAGTGTGCTTGTGGTTTTTTTCTTTAAATGCAGAGCAAGGTGGGGTAACAAAGAAAATACTCTCAGCCTTAAAACGACCTTTAGATTTTGCAGGCAAAACAGTTACTTTGTATTTGCATGAAAACGACAGGTCCTTCAGAATCATGTAGTTTTCCTAGAAGGAAAACAAAAACATCACAAATAGATCTCTAGGAAAAAAAAAAGTGGGCAGAAGATTAAAAGTTTTCTACAATATTTTCCTGATATGCTTAACACATGCCAACATGGCTTTTACTCAGAGAACAAAGCAAACATTGCCCATGTTATGATTATTTTCAGTAGCAAAATATATCAGCATGGTATTTGGATATGTCCTTAAATTCTACAGACTTCCTTTGCTACCCTTCGTCAAAGCAACTGGCCTCTAACATTTAGAAGCCTCTTGGACATGGTGGCAATGGGGGTAGCAATGTGAGGATGTAAATGCTAACTGAATTAAAGAAATGTAAGAAAGCTGAGTTAAGCTGCTGTAAATGACAGGCTTCATCTACATTTAATTTTTAAAAAGTGCATTCAATGTCTAGCATGGCATTATGGATATTTTCTGCTTTAGTATTTTAACTGCTCTACCTTCTTATCAGGAAGAAAAGCTCCACTGCTGAACGACAAAGCATAATTCTCTATTTAAAAACAATGACTGGAGAAGAAAATTCTACACTAATTGTAAGTGTCCTGTTAAACTTTTACTGTTGTCTAAAATACTTTTGAAAATAGCAGCCTGAAAGCTTTAGTATAAATCATATATGAGAAAAAAAATGTTTGTTTTTTCTAGGAAAATGTCCAGCAATAACTTACTGGCTAAGGTCAAAAGTCTTTCACTGCCTTTTAGATCTTTACTTCCCTTCAGAATCACTTTCCAGCATACTTCAACATAGCTTGCTCTTTTTCTAATCCCAAGGTCATTTTCAATGGGACACAGAGATTGGGCTGAGAATGGACTTGACTCCTTGCCTTTCACCTGCTCTAATAAACTTGACTCTTGCTTAAAATTGTGACAGAACTATTTTTATTTATTGCCACAAGACCTAAATGCCCAACACCAGAAACCTAAGGCCTTTATCTACCTTGACCTATCATATTCAGTACCAAACCTTTTAAAGGCACCAACTTTCTTCTGTTTGCTTGTAATTATTTTCTTCCTCAAAAGAAACAGTTTTCCAAAGTAGATTGTATCAATTACCATAAAGTGATTGTGAGGACATAAATGAACTAATCCCACAATGCATGTGGGCAGATGTACAAGGAGTCTTTCCTGACCTCTAGTGGAAATAAACTTCTTAAACGTTAACTTTCTCCTTTCTTCAGTGTGAATAACGTGAAATATTGGGACTCATCATAACATTATGCCACGATCATTCTTTAATCCACCTGTAATATTTGCTTTGCTGACCCCATGAAGCAGTATATTTTACAAGCTAACAGTCTTCTGTATGAGAAATGATGTCTTTTGATTTACTCTACTTTTACATGCCATTAACTCCACTGAATTGATCAAGCAGTAAAGGTCAGGGTAAGAAGGAAAGGTGAATGGTGATTTCTTCCATTATCTATATCCCACTAAATCAATTGTGATACACCAATCACATTTCTGTGTTGTTCAAATAACAAGTTGCAGAGACAGATGACACTAAATTGCCAACAAATTGAGTACAAAGAACTGCTACTGCAATATATATTTGGGCTGACATGTACTTATATAGAGCTTTTCTCCTTATCTGATATCTGTCCGACTTTCAGATTTAATGTCTGGTATTTTTCACCTACGGTTCTTTTTTCTTATTCTATTATTCTCCTCAGGGTTGCCAAAACCAGCTGCATGTCTAAAAGAAAACCTAGTTTATTAATTACTATTATTACTGCTTAGTATTTGCACTGTGCTAATCCTACAGTACTAATTATAGATAAAATTCCATGTTCTATGTGCTATAAGTACTTAGCTAAGAAGTTTGTTTGTGTGCTCTTGTTTTTGGAGTAACACTGACAAAAAAAATACAGTTTTAGCCTAGTGTCAATTAAAAACCAAACCAAACCAAAACCAAAAACCCCCAAACAGTCCAGATGCACTATTAAAAAAAAGAAACACTCTTACGTATCCATGAAAAGTGGTATAAAGCTCAGTGTGCTATGTTACAGAACCATCCTTTCTCTTGCTGTTTAGAAGATACTCAGAGTCAAGCAGAATGGAGACTTACATAAGTCAGCTCAGTTACTTTCCCAAGTCCTTTGGTGTCGTTGTGCACACAGGACTCCAGAAACCAGTGGACTTGGAATTGACTCATGCTGATATCTGAATGATATAAAAAGAGAGGAAAAGACATATAATTATGCTTTCACCATTGCAACTTTTCTGGCTTCTCTGGATAAAAATAGAAGGAATTTTAAGTATTATAGTGCTGGCAGTTCCTTACTTGTTCTAAGTATCCTTCTTCAATAGAATAGAGAAAATATTACATAGTTACTTAATAGAAGCCTTTTATCAACTAATGGAGATAACTTTAAAAACAGTGAAATGGCATTTTCAGAGATGTGAGCAAATACTGCTTACATTTTTTTTTAAATCAAGCATTTAAATTAAGCATTTAAAAGAAATCTCAATGCTGCTGATTCTAAACATCCTGTAAATGATGGAAATTACTTTGTGTCAACTGCCTGTGACAGTTTATATTGTCAGAGCATTGCAATACTGCTGCCTGGCACTGCTTGAGAAATCCGTGCCTGAAGATATGTGAAAATGCCTGTAAATACCTGAGCTTTCTGTTTTCAGAATATATCATAAGACCTGTTCAGTATCAGTCCAAACAGAATTCTAGTCTTGTCTCTTAGGCGAAATACCAAAGCCTTGCATTTGCTCCCATTTAAATCAGTGACAACACTTGCCACAGTGTCAATAGTAAAAGCTTTCAACCAATTTCTCGCTCTTCTAGTTTCCTGTCTAATACTGATTGCATAAGGAAGCAATGCAAAGGAGAATAAAGAATTAAGACAACAGAAGAAAAACTCATCAGGTAGTGCACATACATCCTGTCATTTTTCTGGATTAGTTCTCCATCTTTATACAGGGGATGCAAAATTATGTCTGTTGTTATTGATTAGCTTGGTATGACATAGCCTCTAATGCCAAGTGCCTCATTGAGGATTTCAGGAAGGAAAAAAAAAATCTTTGATGCTTTAAGGGCTCATCTGGCATTGCTCATCTGCTATGAGCAATTTGGATCCAGAAGGGAAGGGTTGTATACTAAAGAGAAAATAAGTTGTATCTGAAACTAGCTCAAATAGTATTCTGGTTAAAAGACTGATTAGAAGCTCCTTGAAAAAGAATTTTGAAGCAGCTATCTTCATAACAACATGTAAGCTAATTATTTGTGGGATTTATTTGAAAAACCAACTTTATTTTTTTTCCAAAAATAAATCTATAAAGAAATAAATGGCTGCCTTGTGACTGTTCCCTATCATTTAAGTATAAAGAAATGGATGTGCTTTCACTTGCCTCTTAGTTGTTGGGCTTTCCCACTTAATGTGCCTATTGGATGAAGACACAAACTCACAATGCATTTGTAAGTAGGTTTCAGCTCATTTCGTTTCTTTCGGTTCACTCAATTATTGCCTATCCCCTGCTTGTGCCCCTCTTCTGGAACCCACAAACCAAATCCCAGGTTCTTGGGACCTGAAAACTTTGTTTTGCTATATTAACGATGTACACTGCCAATTAACCACAATGAATCTGTTATTGATTTTATATTATCTGATAATCACAATTTACTATTTTAAACCATCTGTAAGTAAGGTAGACTGCTCTTCATAAAGCTACAAATCAGCTATTTTCACTTATAATAACTTTCCCTAGAAATCCATAAATAAATCACACACTCTTTGGTAGAGATTATGCAAGCCAGTTAAGCCTTGCTATTATCCATACATCAAGAACTGGTGAAAGCACATACCTCAGGTAGGTCACTGAATATCACCACGTGGGCAACTGGGGAAATATAAATCCTAAACATCAAGAGCTTAAAGCAGCTCAGGATCCAGATATATCAGTGTAGAGGTTTACTAAGCCTCTGTTCAAAAATGTAATTAAACAGGTTGTAACCCAAGATATTTGGTACTTTCAGTTCCTGGCACAGCAGAATTCTGTTTCTCTCTGAATTGCTCTCAGGCAGTTCTTTTCTTCCTTCCTATTTCTCCTCTCCTGCATTAGCAAACCCTTAGTAACCCATTTGTAAACAGCTGAGGTTTCTGATAACCTCTCTATTAGAGCTAGAAAATTAGGAAGAGGTGAAAGAAAATTTCACTTCCTATAAATTTGGGTGGTAAACACAGGATAGTTTTTAATAAACATAACTTCATATTTTTTTATTTAAACAAAATTAACAAATCAATCTTATATTTGACACTGCTCACATCTGGTATTCTGGTAACTTATAGTGAAAAAACCAGGATTTTCTTTCTTTCTTTTCAGTGAGTATGTAGTTAGTTACTTCAAAAAGGTTTTTCCGTACATACGTAAAAGCACGTCAACTGCTATAAACTGGAATGCATCAGGACAGTACCAGCTAAGTTTATCCAAAATTTTTCATTAGAACAGGTTATTCTGACTTCCCTAAACTTTTATTTTGAAGACTAAAACTTCTTTCTCATCTCCATCTTTGTGATTGCTGTTATCTAAAATATTTGAACATTAGAATATTAACTGGTTTTTGTTAAAAAGAATGTAAAAACAATTTACAACAATAAAAACAATCTTCTTCTTTAAAAAAATCTATGCTGCCAGGGTCTAAAGCCTGAGTGATTTTGGTTGCAAACTAAATTATAACACGGAATTAGCTCGTACTCGAAACAGAAACATTAAAAATATTATGGAAAGGTGGGGCATTTTGCAATTAAATAAAGCTAGAAGCATGAAAAACTCAAAGTGTATGTACATATATGCCTATTAAATAACAAGACTGGTTTAGACATTATCTTTAATTTTTTTATAAGCAAAAGGAGACAAGATGTACGGAATGATCTGAAAAGCCACACAAGAGGCTTCAAAAATGAAAATAAGCATTTGTTTCACAGAGTTCCTTATAAAGCTCACAGCTCTAGAGTTTCATTTTTATGCAACACTATACATCTGATTTTGTGTTTATAGTGCATGCAAAAGAAAAGCTTCTCCCAGCCTTTGCTTCAGCAATGTACACTCTCCTAGTGAGATCACTACCATAATTATATTTAGATTTTTGCTTTCAGCTGTCCATTACAAACTCAGCGGTACGCACTGGACAAACTATCCAAGCTGCAGTCTACCTAAAAGTCAGCCACTACCACCAAAGCTGATGGTTCTGAATTAAGCCCAGCTGAAGTTAATCTATTGTAACCCACAGACACTTTTTTTTTCCTGAAAAGTTATTTGAATAGTTAACATTAACAGAATATCCAGTATCTAATGGGATTGATTTTGGCCAGTTTTATCAGAAAGCTCTGCTCTCTCTTCTAAAACAAGTACATAATACTGAACAGAAACTTCCAGACTACTTCAGTCTGGTTCTTTGATATTTCAGATGTCAAATAATAAAGCCTTTTTTGTCTATAACCATTCTCCTTCTTAATAGTTTGGAGCTTTTCTGATTCTGTACTTCAAATTTTAAGTCTTTACAAAGCTTTATAACTTCATTGTTCTCATGATTAGAAAGTATACCATTTAACACTAAAAAGACTGATGCCTGTACAAACAGCAAGCATTCATCTTTCCCAGAACTCAAAATATTTGCATAGAAACACTGAACTTGAAGGACATACTAAGTGCTAGCACTTATTCAAGGAGCTCTACGATTGTGAAATTAGTCAACATAATAACCATTTAAGTATGAACTCCATAAATGATTGTTGCAGCAGACAGCTTATTCAAACAATTATTCTCAAGTCTCTTTAAAAATAAAAAAAAAAATTAAAAGAATAAAAAGCAAACCAGAAAAATTAGTTTAAAAATTCCTGTACAGAATTTGACAGGAAGACATGACTTTCAGGTGCTCAAGCTAAAGATTTCCTGCTGTTTGAGACAATTGCACAAAAGGAATCCTCCTAAATAAACTAATAGCTAATGGTAATTATTTTGGCTATGAATTTTCAAGTAAATTTTCTGAAGTATAAAATGAGTTCCGAGCATTAAGAAAACATTCCTATACACACATCACATGAGCATGTTCTTAAAATTCCACTTATGCTTAGCAGTTTTCTGAACAATGCATTGAACTGTGTTGGACAGAAATCTTAAATAACTAGAAATGTATTGATCAGGGGATGCTCTAAAGCATGTTGAAGAGATACCTGTTTTGATTTCCTCTCTCCCAAATTTCATCCAAAAAAGCCTTTAAATCCACAGAAGTATCTCCTCCACAAAGCCATCTCTATATCAATTCTGTTTATGAAGATGTTCTTTATCAGATTTATCTTCTTTTTCCCCCCTCCCCAACTTAAACTTTTTAGTCCCATGTCAATTAAAATAAATAGACTTCAGATTTTTTGGAGAGAAATGCACATTTATTCTGTAGCTTTAAGCTGTAAAAGCAGCTCAAAATCCCATTGATGCCAATGCCAAATACATCTGTTTGCCACTTTGAAAAGTTCAGGTTTATATACACAACTGAAGCATATTAGATTGAAAAGTTTTGCTTAAAGTACTGCCACATACCCTAAGTCATGACTGCATGATGGTTAATTGGAATACCCTAGGCCAACATTCTACATTTGCTAAATCTCATCATTTCACCACAGAATTTGAAGCTCGAGACTCACTCAGAAAAACCACCCAACACAATGACAGGTAACTCTGCAACTTTTTCTTGCTGGAATTTCTGGTTTAAATAGTTGTACAGGATTTTTTAAAATAAACTAATGTCCTGGTTTGAGCTAAATAGAAGTAATTTTCTATTTAGTGTTTTCACTTCTCAGCTCAGTCTCTTCTAAGCAGTTGAACTTGCTGAAAACTAGCAGCATGGTTTTCCCAGGCAGTGTGAACTGATAAGCTCAAGGCCAAGTGTCTCACCATGGGTGCCGTGTCTGTGTCTACCAGGGGGAAGTGGACCCTAGGTATTCCATCCCACATACGTCATACTCGGTATAAAGCCGAGGGATCACGAGGGGCTCGACCCTTCTTCCATTTTGGAGCCCTTCCATCTTGGACCCTTCCATCTGTCTCGATCCTGCAATGGCCGAAGTCAGAGCAGAACCCTGCTAGTTCATCTGCTGCTGATCCTGATTCGTGTGAGTTTGGTATGGGGCTTTTCCCGTGCCCTCCTCTGC